TTGCTACGTGCAGCATCTTTTGCTACCTGTAGCATCTGTTGCTACGCACAGCATCTGTTGCTACCTGTTGCATCTGTTCCTACGTGCAGCATCTTTTGCTACCTGTAGTATCTGTTGCTACGTGCAGCATCTGTTTCTACCTGTAGCATCTGTTGCTACGTGCAGCATCTTTTGCTACCTGTAGCATCTGTTGCTACGCGCAGCATCTGTTGCTACCTGTTGTTGCATCTTTTGCTACCTGTACCATCTGTTGACATCTGTAGCGTCTTTTGCTACCTGTAGCATCTGTTGCTACGTGTAGCATCTGTTGCTACCTGTAGCATCTGTTGCTACATTTAGAAGCTGTTGCAACCTGTTGCCTCTAATGCTAAATTTATAGTTTGTTGAATGCTTTAGAATCTGTTGTTAGTTATTTTTAGGACACAAGTTGAATAAAATGCAAACAGCTGATGGGAGTCCTGGTGACAGGTTTACCACTGGAACAGAGAAATTATTTTTATAGAGAAATAAAACAGGCTAACTAACGTCTTGAGTATTTTTTTTAACCAAGGAGAGCTAACTAAAGCTTAAGTAAAATCTCAGCTAAGTTGTTTAGTGTTTTAATTTTTTTCTTTATGTAGATGAACATAACATAACAGTTCTTGTCCCAGAAAGGCCCTCAAGGTCAGGATTTGACCTGAGGCTTAGTTCACTACATTTATAAATAAAAAACCTTTAGTATTCACTGAATGAGCGTGTGGTAAAACTACTAGATGTTTCATTAGTTCAGCCTGTAAGCAAACATTATCTGTGCACAGCAGGCTAACTCTAATAAAACATTCAGGGTGATTCACAACCGTATTCAAATATCTGAAGTCATAAATCTCAGAGTTTTGAATAATGCCATTTTCTGCAGCAAAAGTTCTCCACACATCAAAAAGAGCAGGTCTGAACAGCTGAACTGATGCAAACCAAAACTTTAATTTTCTGTATTTTGTTTTCTGTCCATGTCCATAAGCATCAGTCATACTGTGACACCTTTGTTTTGTCTTGTGGTCTTTACTGACTGTAAAATCTTAACTCTTGCTCCACCCCAGTGGTGATGACATGTTAGCCTGCAAAGATAGCAGACCAAACATGGCAACCATTCCTTGAACATCTTGTATCTTTTGATGTTCAAACCTTAACTTTTAATGCTCGTGTTAGAGCTCTGTGTGTGCCGAGACCAGTCAGTGTCTGAGTTTATGAGGTGACTGGTTTCTGTTTTAAACTAAGGCCTAAAATTTAAAACCAGATCTTTATATAAATGCTACAACTAAACACATTCTGACACATTTCCAGCTCTATTTGACAACATTCCTAAAACAAAGTTTAAATCTGCTCATTGCACTTTAAGAATATATTGTTAAGTTCCTGTTAGCGTGCTTTAAAGAGACTGTTATACTTTTTATTACTAATAATATGCATGTTTGGGTTGTGTTTAAGAAGCCTGATGTAAATAACTGAGATGTATTTTCCACTAAAAGGAGATGGTAAAGAATGTAAATAAATAGGAGAAATTCACAGAAATCTATGGATCTGAAAATGGACACATATTTTATGTCTTGTTCGATGCAACAGGAAGTGTTTGGGTCTTAGCTGTTACTGCTCAGTGTTTCTTTGCTCCTAAGGGAAGAGTATTCAGATGTTTTTGTGACTTAATCGCTAAAGATCATCAGTTTGCTTTCATGAAATAAAATCTGTGCATTTTATGTTGTAACTTGTTCTGATTTGTTTCTTTCTATTAAACACACCAGGAAGAAAACAAGACAATGAAACAAATGAAAAAGACTTTTATTCAGTAAAAATAGATATGTTCACAACATAATGATTTGGTCCAGTCTTGTTACATGTCAAGGCACGGATTGTTAAGCTTTGATTACACGTTTAAAGAAGCGGACATTTTAAATAGAATATAAGGACTTTACATTTACTATTGTTATACAGACAGGATTGTTGGTCACCGTTGATGAGAAATCCTTTGTTTTTTATGTGTAGCTGGTTATAATGCTTCAAAAATTCTTCTTTGCCCATTTTAGAGATTTTTTTAAATGCCACTACGACGAGTGTTTGGACCACTTTACAGATTTCTTCAACAGGATCACGTTGTTAGGCCTTTTCAAAATACAGCTCTGTAATATGACTCTGATCCTTTAGTCTGATGGACAGCTCTCATTCTAATCCCTCAGGCACCACCGCCAGCTTCCCCTTACACCAGGGGTGTCCAAACACTTTCATATGTGCCAAAACTACGATGAAAGGACTTGTGGGCCACAAAAATGTGAATTTAACACTCAACGTGAACAATATTTAAGAGAAAGGACAAAAGTTTACTAATTTTGGTGGAGAAAGTTTTAAATTGTTGTAGATCCAAAACATTAAAAGTCTCGTAAATACTAAGCTTATAGTTTTTTATTAAAAGGATTTGATTTGTTGGGTCTATATTGGTTGTTTTCTTGTGTTTGGAAAATTCATTTTAGTCTGTTCTCAGCAACAAAAGCATAATATGAGTAAGTCAGACTTCTGGACCATGGATGGCCCAAAAGGTTGATCGAAGTTCTGAAAAATGGTCCAGCTGTCAGTCACTGCAACAGTTTCATAGAAGGTTTGATAAAGTTGATCAATTCGTATGTAGATGATACCACGCTATATTCATTTAAAAATGTCTCTTTAATTATTTTTATCAACTGAAACATTTAGCAAAGTGTCCTTTCTGGTAGAAATCAGTCAAGGTTTTAGATACTTTGTACCATGAAGTAAAAATAAAATGGTTATAGCCAAAGGTTTGTATTTTGCTTAATATTTCTCATTTTGAGAAGATTGTTTTTCATCTGTTTTGCTGTTAAACCTAAACATTATATAAAAAGGATTACCAACTAATTTACAGAAAGTCTACATCGACCTCTGAAACCTGCTGACCAAAATGATACCATTCTTAAAATGAAGTTGTGGGCCGCTCAGAAACACTCCAAGGGCCACAAATGGCCCTCGGGCCACACTTTGGACACCCGTGCTTTACACATATCAACCGTTTTGGTTCAAGAACTACTTCGCTCCGCAGCTCAGAGGCATAACAATGGTGAGTTGACTTCAGTCCCACATGCTGCCTCAGTCCTGTCATAAATCACTACAAGACCAGAAGAGGCTGCTTCAGACCTGGCCTGGAGTGTTTTATAAAAAGGGCTGTAGTTTGTGCTCACAGTGAGGAGATACTGGCATCAAGGTTGTAAAGTTGTGTTTGGAAAAGTTCAGAAACTCAATTTAAGGATGCAACAAAAGCCAGATTGTCAAACCTTCGTGCCCCCCATCAAAGGAAAATGTTCTTTATATTTTCAGGTTATGATTAATATAGCTCACATAAATGCTGTCCTGTGTGATGTTTTATAAAAAAAAAAACTGGGATGTTCTACAAGTTTTAACAAGAAATCAAGTCCATCAGACGCCCCATGAGGCAGGTCTTTGTGTAACAAGAAACATCAGTAATTAAAAGGCTGCTCGTCCTGCCTCAAATGTTTTATTTTATATTTCTTTTATACATAAGCTGCTATCACTTGTTTTTAATATGCTGGAATCTGAATGAAGTGAAGACCTGGCTGGTCAGACGTGTGTTTCAGTGAAGTCGTGACTAGAATTAAAGCCCAGATCATCTAAGTTGAATGTGCCTGGGTTGAGACGGGCTTCATCTGAGAAAACCAACGTTTTACATGTAAAGTGAACTTTTCAAGCATCACAGATACTTCCTCACAATAACAGGAACATTTGTTTGTAGCTCTCAGATTGAATTTAGAGATAAATTGGATTTTTATTAATCTGAGTAGATTATAGAATGCAGTGTGGTGTCCCTCTTTAGTTTGTTCTGATTGTTTTAGAGCTGGGTGGACACTGTACAATATAATCTAGTGGTATAATCTGTGGTGCTGATCACAGAACGTCAGTCTGAGCAGCGTTATGATGCGTCATAATCACCTAAATGAAAACTGGCTGACGGCACGTCATGAATTTTTACAGGTTTTCAGTAACGGTGACAAAATGGCAACTCAAACGGCTCTGAACGTTGTTGATGCCAGAACGATGATATAGCTGATGTGTTTTGCGCAGCTGACAGCTCTTTGTGTGAGGTGCACGTGTAACTGCCAGCTGTGAGTGCTCACAACCAGAGCCGCCCACTTTCGTTCAAGACGGATGCTGGTTCCAGGTCTGAACAGGGCCTGGAGGACTTGTCTAACCGTTGCAGTGCACATTTCAAACATATACCACAGAATCAACGCACGGAAAACTGGTTTATGACCCGAATGTGTTGTGAAAGTATTCTACGAGTCTTGGATTTTTGAGACGTCAGACTGTAGGGTTTGGATTCGAGTTATGTTCCCCCCCACCACCACCACCACCACCCACCCACTCCGGAGGTTCTGCAGCATGCCCAAACACGATCTGTCCTCCTAGTCGATCATCAGCTTCTTCAAAGAGTTCAGGTAAGTGGGGATGAGGGAGCTGACCGACTCGTTATCATCGTTCAGGATCTTCTCTCCCCGGGGCTCTGAGCCCACAGAGCTGGGTGACCTGACCAAGGGGGGGTACGGAGTGCTGTAACCCTGGGAGAGTGGGGGCAAACACACAGTCACCATTCAAAGCAGACATAAACATCTAAGAAAACTGAAACTGATAAATATTCAATTTAATCTCTGAGATCAAGGGGAGTGGTGGCGCAGAGGTTAAAGAAGGTGGTCCTGTGATTGGAAGGTTTGACTCCCTGAACTGACAATATCAAAATGTGGGTGGAAAAGGTGAAACACCCACACCTGCCTCCACTGTCATTTGCCCCACTGCCCCATGGCGGGGGTTAAGCCCTTGAGCAAGGCTCTTAACCCCCACCATCTGCTCCCAAACAGGTCTCTCTTGAAAATGAGTCCTCATGACCCAATGAGACTACCTGGATAAATAAAAGGTTAAAGTAAAGTGTTTGGGGCGAGTTATCCCCCTATAGAATCAGAGGATGAAGCTCTTGGTCGATTCTGGTCTTAAAGCTCTTTTTTTTGTTTGAGCCAGACTCTGCGGAAGACTACCAACAACGCTGCCTTCATCTGAAGCTCTGAAGACTCCTGAACTCTGCGCACTCGGGACTCTGACACGAGTCAAGTCACTGTGTGAACTTGTAACTTTAACTCCATCTGATGCGCTGCACGTCTTCCTGTCTTCACGTTTGTTGCCCCTCACTTCCTCCTCATGAACGTTTCTCATTTAGCGTTTTTATAAACATTAACAGTAAAATTATGTGTGGCACGTTGTTTCGCACCAGCTCTTGGGTAAGGAAAGAAACAAGTCAACGTGTTTAGCAGTTGTGGTGGAATGGATGTGGTGGAGCTGATTCTGGCAGATCCTGATCACCCACTCCATGGTGAGTTCAGGTTGCTTCATCCAGGTATCTGCTGCCCAGATGTAGGACGAACAGACTGAAAAACTCATTCATCCCTGTATCAATCAGGTTTATCAACAAACAATGATGATTTCTGTTATTTTAATGTCTCACTGTCTTGTTTTGTATTAGTATAGTAGTATGACTACTGACTGTGAAACTAATTGCTCCTTGGTGATAATAAAGACTTGAACTTGTTCAGTAGACTCGGACCATATGTGTCAGAAGTAGCTGGTTCTATGTTCTGAATACTTACGGAGGAGTAGCCCTTCCCAAAGCTGCCCCTGTTCTTGGTCCTGATCTTTGTGAGCGCCGACTCTGCAATGTCAGCTCGCTCCTCAGCATCATCCAGCTCGTGGACCGTCTTCCTGTACTTGGCCAGGTTCATGTTGGCTTGTTCCTCCTGGGGGGGACAACAGTTAGTGAGGGACGGACAGACGGAGACACAGAGGGAGTTTAAAGGGTCGGGCGTGATGTACAGCCTGTTCCACTTGTCTCTTGTAGGTCTTCATCTTGCTCTGCAGTCTCTCTACCAGATCCTGCATCCTCTGCTGGTTCTTCTGGTCCTCCTCGGACTGGAACAGCAGCTCCTTCAGACGGCGCTCATTCTTCCGCAGCGTCTTCACCGTCTCCGAGTGTCTCTTTTGCTCCGAGTCCAGCTCCAGCTCCAGCTCCTTCACCTGCACACAGAAAGGAACTTTCATCAGTGCTGGGTTTGTTTTAGAGAGAAAAGTATCACATCCATCAGATGTAACTTTTTTTAAAGAGGTCACCGTCCGAGCTCTGCTGGTGCATATTGAAAGAATTCAGGATGGGATCTTTGGAAACTAGTCTGAGACTCAAAATGATCCACTCTTCAGCTGCGGTCTCTGAATTCAGAGCGTTTGCAACTAAACGGCTGCTTTTTGCACAACCATTTTTTTTAAATCACAGCTTCTTTGTGCAACTCATGGCGCAAACATTTTTATTTTAGGGCACGCATTATTTTGTTTCCCACCTCAGCTAAGTTTGTTCTGACCATGGCAGCCTAACAAACCTTTTATATTTAACCCGCTGGAGTACATGTTACAAATGAAGATTTGGACTAACCATCCGTCCATTATCTTCCGCTTATTCTAGAGAGGCGTCACTGGGCAGCATCTTGAGCAGGGAGGTCCAGACATGACTTCCCACAGCCACCTCTTCCAGCTCTTTTGGTGGGGTGTTCCCAGGACAACAGAGACATAGTCTCTCCAGCATGTCCAGGGTCTTCTCCCATTCAGACATGCCTGAAGCATCTCCATAGGGAGGTGTCCAGGAAGCATCATTACCAGTTGCCTGAACCACCTCAACTGGTTCCTTTCAATGTGAAGGAGCAGTAGTTCTACTCCGAGTCTCTCCTGATAACTGAACTTCTCACACTATCTCTAAGGGAGAGTCCAGCTACCCTGCAGAGGAAACTTATTTCACCCTCCTGTATCCATGATCTTATTTGGTCACTACCCAGAATTCATGACCATAGGTGAGGGTAGGAACGTAGACCGATTGGTAAACAGAGAGCTTTGTCTTACAGCTCAGCTCCCTCTTCACCACAACGGACCGGTACAGAGTCCACAATACTGCAGACGCTGTACCAATCTGTCTGTCCATCTCACGCTCCATTCTTCCCTCATTTGTGAACAAACTCCCGAGATGCTTGAACTCCTCCACTTGAGGCAGAACCTCACCCTCGACTTGAAGACAACAATCCACCCTTTTCCAACTGAGGACCATGGCCTCAGATTTGGAGGTGCTGATCTTCATCTCAGCTGCTTCAAACTCAGCTGTGAACCGCTCCAGTGAGAGTTGAAGATCACGGCACGATGATTCCATCAGGACCACATCATCTGCAAAGAGCAGAGATGGAATCCTGAGGCCACCGAACAATTCTCCCTTCGACCACTTTTTAAACAAGTATTTGTTGTAGGTGTAGGGTTTAGACCTGGACAGGTAGATATTGGAAGATATAGAAGTGTGTAGTGAAGGTAAGACATTCTTTGTTAGGACAAATACATCCTCTGTTACCTGCCTAAGTTACAGTGGGTTAGGAGGCAAAGTATTGATCAGAACTGTGAAATCAGATAAAGGGATGATGCTGAAATAGAAAATTGAGAAATAATTCCAACAGGGAGGAAGAACTGAGAATACAGTACTTCCATGACCTGCGGTGACTTCAAGTACCATGATGAAGAACGTCCACTGAGTGGATTCACTCTGCAGATCTTCAGGAGATCATTGTTGTACTGTTGCCAATCAGACACTTTCCCAAATCACATCTCTCTCATTCTGTCTGCAGTTTCCTGTTCTGACAAAATATCAGGTTTTTTGTGTTTTTTCACCAGTTTCTACAAAAAGACTTTCAGATTCTGTCCATCTGCTGGAGATTTTCCAGTTTTTAGGTCTGAACCTTTTGACATTGATAAAACTTATTAAAAGGGCACACTCCTCAACAAACCTTCAGCTCACAGCACATTGAGAATCAGCTCGGTTATGTAGAAACACATGCCACCTGAAAATCATTTCTTTGGTTACTTTTTATTCTTTACGCAAAAGAGTGATAATGTTTCTGCTTGTCTATGTGTGTGCATGTAATTTTCTGTTGTGTTAGCAAAATATCTCATGAGCCAGAGGGCAGATTTGAATGGAAATACCAGAAATTAATCCATGGATGCTCATTAGTAGGCAACACTATTCAAGATGGCCACCACAGCCAGCAGGTCTTAAACAACACGCTGATGATTAGTTGAGTCAGTCTGACAGATGCTGCAGATGTTAGATGTTCGAACCTTCCCCTCCAGTTTCTGGATGATCTTTTTTCCTCCTTTCAGAGCCATCTGCTCCGCCTCGTCCAGCCGCCCGCTCATGTCCTTAATGTGACCTTCCAGACCTTTCTTCACCCTCTCCAGGTGGAGCGTGTGCTCCTGCTCCAGTCGCAGCTCCTCCCCGACTCTGGCCAGCTGAAGGGACGTAATATAAAGTGTATACATCTGAATGAAACTTGTGTATTTGTACATGAAGTCTGTGTGTTTACCTCACAGCCGGCCTTCTTGGCCCTGTCTGCGCTGGCTCTCAGCTCTGCCTGCACCTCCTCGTGCTCCTGCTGCAGAGTCTGCAGGTCCACCTCCAGCTTCCTCCTCCCATTCAGAGCTGACTGGAACTGGACGCAGACTAACGTTCAGAGTGTGGGAGCTTCAGGTGGAAAACGGCGTACAGGAAGTTGTGTGGTCTACCTGGTTGTTGAGGTCTGAGAACTTCTCACAGGCCTCCTGCAGCTCTGACTCCAGAACTTTCCGGGCCCTCTCCGAGCTCTCCAGGGCTGTTCTGGTTTCCTCGCCCTCACTGACCAACAGGGCGCAGCGGCGTTCGAGGGCTGCCTGCTCCTCCCTGAGCTCCTCGTGGGTTCGCACCTCGTCCTCCAGCTGAGCCTGCAGCTCCTGCAGCAGAATGGGACACTGTGAGTCTGACGGCGTCGCAGCAGAGAGGACAACCGGCTCACGGTGCTCTGAGCAGAACCTTAATCTGCTGCTGCAGCTTCTTGTTGTTCTTGTTGAGCTCTGCGTTGTTCTTGGTGAGCAGGTCCACCTGCAGCTCCAGTTCACTGGCGTCGGCCTCCAGCTTCTTCCTCAGCTTCAGTCCCTCTGCTCTGCCCTTCACCTCCACATCCAGGCTGGCCTGCAGGGTCTCCAGCGCCCTCTGGTGGTTCTTTCTGGAAGAGTCAGAGTCGGAGTTTACTGTCATTCACATCACATGTGGTACATGTAGTGGAACAAAATTGTGTACACAGGGGTTCCAGTTACACCAAACAATAGAAAAAATATAAAGTGTAAAAAGAAACAGTAAATAAGGATCTAAAATTTGAACTAAGATATATATACACTAAATGAACACCAAACAGTACGCTAAAAGATCAAAGATATATGCCAATCACTAATAGTGCAAAACAATACACCAAACAACAGCAGCACGATTTTCATAGATCAGTTCGGTTATAATTTGCACGCTTAATGTGAGCATAAACTAAACTAACATAAACTAGGATTTATTCAAAGCATGCAACAAAAATACAGAAACAAGGCACCAAAAAGTGAAAAAGAAATAAATCTACAGCAGCATGGTCCTATTGGCAGAGTGGCAAGAAAAGGGCACAAGAATGAGGAGTTAAGTTCTGTTAGACCAGGTGCACTGCACGACTAATCAGATTATTATTTTATTTAACTATCTGGGTCTTAAAGCATTGCAAATGGAACTAATGATTAGCTTTTGTTACCATTAGGGCTTGTTTTTGTGACGGATCATAAGTACCGTATTTTCCGGCGTATAAGTCTCAGCTTTTGCATGCATCTGTCAGTCCTGTGACTTATACGCCGAAGCGACTTATATACGTTATTTTTTTTCCACATTCACAATGCAATTTTTGACTGACACTTTAAATTTCTAAGAAGTGCAACAGCGAGTCCTACCATGTGCACTCGCTTCACTCAGCTGGTGCAGGTGGAAGAATGCTGGAGAGCTATCGGCTCTGGCTGCAATGAATGAATGAATGAATGAATGAATGGATGGATGGATGGATGGATGGATGGATGGATGACTCCGCACTGCCCAGGTGAAATGAAGCTCTTTTGACCATTAAATAAACGCATAATAAATGCAACTTATACGCCGAAGCAACTTGTATGTTTTTTTTCCCTCTTCATTTTTGACTGATGCGACTTATACTCTGGAAAATGCAGTAGGTCCATTCCTTTCTGGTCACATTACCCGGACAGAAGTGATGAGGAACGGAGAGGGAAGGGATTTTTTTCTCTTTCATGGAGGAAAAGGAGGCGTCGCTGTAAATCAGGGCCAAACTGTCGAGTGAAAATGGCCGCTCTCACCAACGGAGGTCACATGACACCATGACTGTGAGTGAGGGAGTAGCTTTAAACCTGGTGTCCTCAGTTAAAGGCTGGTTCTAAAAATACAAATGGCAGCTCCTGCCATGTTGCTCCTATCATACATGTGGATGGTTAGACGTCGTTCATTTAAACCAGTTGAGTTGAAGCAGGGAAACATCGAAAACATGAAGCTCAAACAGACAAAACAACAACAAAAACAGTGAGGAACCTCGCAGCTTCAGCCTCCTCTTCCTTCTCTTGAAGCCTGCGATCCAGGTCTCCTTTAGCCTGAGACACCTCCAGCTGCAGCCTCAGCACCTTGGTCTCCTCAGCCTGAGAGGAAAACAGAACAAATAAAGACATCAACAACAACAACAACAACAACAAAAACAGAATCCAAAACTGTTTCTTCAAATATGTCTGCCACGCACCTCTAAAGCTGCCTCAGATTCCTCCAGGGAAGCTTGTAACTCTTCTTTTTCCATCTCTATCTTCTTCTTTGCTTTATGGAGCTCGTGGACGCTTTTCCCTCCATCTGACAGCTGGTCTGTCAGGTCGGCTATCTCCTCTAGAAACGAAGGAAAGATGAAGCACACCAACTGTTAGCTGCTGACCAAAGGGACTGAAGGTACAAAAGAGCACAGACAAGATTTATTTTTAAAATCTCTAATCATCGTGAGTTATCTTTCAGTCAATATAATTGTAATCATCTGATGGTTCTAGCTGAAACAAAAAAATTTATACGCATCTTTTAGGCCCCAAACAGACATGACATGATTGTCTATATTCAATAAAGGTGAGAAATGCCTTAATGTGTAAAACATGTATAAGTACTGACGATAGACCCCCTATTAGAGGTGGTTATCTGGATATGTTTGCTAGTCTGAACATAAACCATCCAGAGCAGGGGTGTCCAGACTTTTCCATCCTGCAGATACAATTTAAAATGATCAAGTCAAAGTGATCTACCTGCTATAAGACCCTGTTCACAGGAGAACAACCTCTGGAAACATTTGTATTTTTTCAATGTTTATTGGGTATAATAAACAAAAATGAGCAGGTTTACATGAAAACACTGTATTTTCATGTCATTCGAGTTGCCAGATACTGTGGCTTTAAAATGATAGTATTTTGACCTAAAGTGTCATATGTGCTGAGTAAAGACATTCTAAGGTGAGGTGTGTGTTGTGTTTGTTGAACATGTGCACAGAAAAAGAGTGGATACATGAGACATTTTAAATTTATCTGGCAACCCTGATGCCGGGCTCAGCTGCATTCATTGTGCATGCAGCATCTGCATGACAGTTACATCCAAACTGCTAAACACACCAATGTCTCTTTGGAGCCTGGATTTTATTAGTTTTGCTCATACATGCTGAAAAACAGTGAGCAGCACAAAAACACTCTGCTCTCTGTTGTTACATTTGTTATAACTGTTGTTATATTTATTATAACTGTTGTTACATTTATTATAACTGTTGTTACATTTATCCTGATGCATGCTCAATAATTCCAGTAGAAAAATCTAAAAAAGTTAAGTCTGGTCCTCTGGACATTAAAAAAAATAAATAAATAAATAAAATTGTAGAAACGTTTTGTCTTTCATCCGAAAGACTTCCTCAGTCTGAGGTGCTGTTTTCAGCTCAGTCTCTTAAATAGCACCTTCTCAGAGTGGATCAACCAGTTTGCTGTTGACAACCAAAACCAGCTGCTCACATGCTCAAGAAGGACCATCAGCCCAACAACGGATCATTAGCACACTGATGGCTGTTTACTATTCACAGGGGGTTGAGTGATACTAGCAATCACAGCATTGTAAGAGGGGGACAGTTGAACCCGGAGGCCTCCACCCCTGTTTAATGATAGACGGTTTCTTTTCACAAAGATGGCCTCCTTTACTCCTCTCTCAAACCATCGTTCCTCTCTATCCAGGAAGTGAACATCTTCATCCTTGAAAGAGTGACCGCTGGCCTGGAGATGAGTGTAGACCGCAGAGTCCTGGCCTGATGATGTTGATCTTCTGTGCTGGGCCATCTAGGTGTGGCCTCCCCTGGGTACAGTCTGTGGTACAGAATACGGTCAATAGCTTTGTCCTGCTCCAAAATTTTCAGGCTGGTTGATCCACTCTGAGAAGGTGCTATTTATAAGACTGAGCTGAATAAAGCATCTCAGACTGAGGAAGTCTTTCGGATGAAAGACGAAACGTTTCTACTTTTTTGTTGTTGTTTTTGTTTTGCTTTTTTTTGCTTTTTTTTTAAATGTCCAGAGGACCAGACTTAACTTTTTTAGATGTTGCTACATTTATTATAACTGTTGTTATTAGTTCATAGAATCTTTGGACTGCAGCTGCCTGTAGTGTGCATGTGCCACTTCACACTAGGAGTATTTCACACCTCTCTGTGTGTGTGTGGGGGGGGGGGGTTACCCAGATAATCTCTACTCTGAGACCTGGATTCAGAAACCTTCAGCTTCAGAAAGAATGAGGCTGTTGTCTGTAAATGAACGGCTGAATGTTTCACGTCATGTAAACAGGGCTTCAGACTGGCTGCCCTGTCTGTCAATCAAGTGACAAATTTCATAGATGGATGAGAGGCTGACGTCCGTTTTTAATGCCATGGGATCTACTCATAATACCTTTGAGATCAACTGGTAGATCGTGATCAACGTATTGGGCACCCCTGGTTCAGACCTGGTCCAGAGTCACAATGTAGGATGTCTGTTCTGATTGTTTTTGGAGCTGATTGGACCCACTGTGGACAATGTGAGCTACAATGGGCTGTCAGTCACAGAACAACAGTCTATCCATTTGATGGAACACAGCGGTAACATTAATGGTGTGGAGGATCGATGACAGCTGCAGCAGTCTTTCAGTTGTTTTGGTGCAGTAAAGATCGATGATTTAAATCTTCAGATGCTGCTCTGACACTGAGCTCCGTTACAAACCCTGTCAGATTCTTTTGGCTAATTCATGCCTCGTTCTTTTGAAATGTACGTTTATCAGCAGTTGTGGGCAAAACAATAAAAATACAACTTCAGTGACTGAACTGTGTTTGTGTGAAAATAATACCAGAGTTCAGAAGAATGGGTTGGAGGTAAGGTTCTGCTTCACGTGGAGCAGTTCAGGAATCTCAGGGTTTTGTTCACAATGAGGGCAGAAGGGAGTGAAAGATTAACAGATGGGTCAGCACAGCTTTTGCAGTATTGTGGACTCTATGCCAGTCCATTGTGGTGAAGAGGAAGCTAAGCTGCAAGAAGAAGCTCTCACTCTTGGTAGTTACCAAAAGAATGAGATCATGGATATAAGCAGTCCAAATGTTTCCTCTGCAGGGTAGCTGTACTCTCTCTTAGAGACAGGATGAGAAGTTCAGTTGTCTGGGAGAGACTCCTCCACATTGAGGAGCCAGTTGAGTTGGTTCAGGCATCAAGTAAGGATGTCTCTGGATGCCTCCCTTGGGTGGTATTTCGGGAATGTCAAACTTGGATGTATGTATGGATGGATGGATGGATGGATGCATGCATGGATGGATGATGAAATGGATGGACAGACAGACGGACAATAGATGTATGTATGTATGTATGTATGTATGTATGTATGTATATATGTATGTATGTATGTATGTATGTATGTATGTATGTATGTATGTAT